CAGGCGCTTGGCAAATGGTATGTGTTTGTGACAGCTGCACTGTCCTGGAGTCACGTGGGAATTGTTTGAAACTTTCTCAGCTGACCTCTGACAAGCAAGGTCAATGGGGGAAGCCAGATTTGCTTAATAACCCGCATGATTCACTTAACAACTGTTAGAAAAGATCATAAAATGGGGCAAGACTCACTTAACAAGTGCCTTGCTTAGCCATGGAAATTTTTGGGTCAATTGTGGTTATAAGTCGAGGACTACCTGTATGATTTACCCACAGTATTGAAAAACTGCCCTCTGTTAAGATTATTGAACCAAATTTCTTGTATGTCTCACCAAGAATATAAGAATGGAGAGGCTTTTGGCACCCAAGTGTGGCAGACATTTGAAAAATCACATCCTTAACCCAGCAGGCTTAACTTATTTCCAGATGGTTAATTCTGTGCAAGAAAAACAATAATAATTCTTGTAGCTCCTTGAAGCCTAAAACATTTTATAGTAAAAGGTCACATAGACTGTCCAGTTCACAAGATAGTAATTATTTAAGGTGTTACAATAATCTAATTACAGATAGCAGAAGAAGGGGTGGTGGGAACTATAAATCTACCAACAGGATTGTCAACCCATCACATATGTCCTTTGATTTTTAAAGGAACATAGAGCTGCCAGAATATACTCAAACTGGTTTAAAATCCTTGTGTCCAACAGGACAGCAGTCAAGCTTGGAAAAACTCTCTCGTCTGTTTGGCATCAGCCCTGAATTCCTGGGAACAGGTTTCTCTGGATCAGCTCCCTAATAGTGGAAGGTCACCAGGTGAGAGTCAATGCATTTTAGATCAGAGCTTCCCAACATGGTGTCCTTTGGATTAATTGCTCGAGAAAAAGTTGAAAATGACATAGTGCTAAGTGAAAATATTACGAGTACTTCTGGCAAGACTTTGATTTCTTTGACCTGGGTAGTCCTCTGCAAGTTTTTCAATTCTGCTTCTGTAAATACTGTGAATTTATTTCGTATTATAAATCTAGGTTGATCTGCTAGAGTTTTTCTGTTATTTCTGATTTTGGATATTGTTCTTTCCAGACCTGGTGTATTCTTTGCAGTTATCTTCTTCTCACTGGACTTGATTTGGAATATCAAATGATTATTTCTTTCTTTTCAGTCTTTGTACACTTGGGATAGATAACTTTTTTTCCAGTAGATCTGCAGCTGTTGGCCCTGGTTACTCAGCCAATGGGCCAGCGCCCTTTAGCTGATTTGTCAGCAATTTCCAGGAACTCCAGACCTTAGCACAGTCCTTGTTGACTGGGTGATGACTGATCCAGTAGTTTTTTGTAAGTTGTGTCTCTCCATATTATTTAAGGGGAGAGTCACTCTTCATCTGACTTCTCTGATGAGACCTGTCCAGTATGATTGAGCCTCTGGTGTGTATTTCTCAGCTTCCTTGGAGCACGCAAGCCCCACAACCACATCATGGTAGTGCCTCACTGGGGAATTATCATTTTGGGTGATTATCATTTGATTGGCTGTAAGGCAACATCAAAATGCAAAATAGAAAGTAATAATAAGATGACACATAATAAAATGGTGAAAAAGGCAAAAACTAAATAAAATGTAATTCATATTTCACTCCTTTAATTTATCCTCATCAGATCTATATCTAATCTACAGTATAGTTTAGTTTGATTCTAGTCATATTACTTTATGCATTTTAATATATCTGTCTTTACCAGTCCATCCCATGCTGTCATAATCACTTCTGCAGAACTGTAACAAGTTTGCGCAATTTTTTTTTTATTTTGTGGCTGTCTTGAACTTGGCAATTAACATGTTGCATAAACTATGATTCATGGTTTTTTCCCCTTGAGTGTTGACTCCAGATGACTGCCTAGACTTCTCCTTCCTAGGGCTGAGAGAGACCGATGGTCCAAGATCATCCAGCTGGCTTTGGACCTAAAGCAGGATTAGAATCCATCTCCCAGTTTCTAGCCTGGTGCCTGAACCACTAAACCAAACTAGGTTTTTTGAACATTGACAACTATTGTCTTTTCTGAAGTTTCATGTCTTTAGATGTGCCAGCTAGGACACTCTAGTTTGTTTGACAAACCATAGCTTGATGCAATATGTGGATTCAGGTTTTATGTATAGAACATTATCTTAAAAAAAATCTAAAACACAGAAACAGCTCTGACAATGGCTCTGAAAAAGATGCTTACACCACAAGCTTAGTTTGAATACTTATTCCTTCTTTGCCCACTGTCTTATGATTGTGAACAGCGTCAACAGCTATATCAAACACAATTGCTAGAATGCTACTGAAGATGTAATTTATTGTGGTAGATGTGATGTGAACTGTAAATGTTTGTAAAGCACTGGATATACACATTTCTCTGGAAAATTTATGTGCTGGTCTGGAAGAAGGCTAGAGTAAGTCTTCTGTCTTATACTGCCTCCTTCTGGCATTGGAGAAGTTTGCTATCCAACAAATAACACTTAATTTTCACGCCCTGTGTTGCAGGTTCTCAGCAGTGGCAGGCAGTACCTGGCTGACTTTGGTTTTGGAGCAGAAAAGAGTCAAGTTATTTTTATTTGTATTATTATCCAATAATTCTTGCATGAAGACCTGTGCCATAGGACTGGTTAAGAAACTGAAGAACCCTGTGTGGCAAACCATTTCCATATTGCTGCCAAGAACACTACATTAATGCATTCTGGAGCTGAGCTTGACTTTATGCTTTATCTTTTTCATCTTCTGCTCTCAGTGTGAATTGGGACTGGAGTTAAATCCAACAGGATTAAATCTCATTCCAGTAGGGAAGAAAATCAATTATGACTTCCTAATCTCAGGTTAAACAGGTAAGTTGCCTGGTTCACAATGAACATATCGTCAGCTTTTTTGCAGGTAGATTTGCTGACTATAAGCAAGTTATATTCCAGTACAAAGCCAGTGTTTGCATAACATGCTGAAACATATAAACCATCTTTACAAACTACAATGATTAAGCCAAACCCAAAACATTCACAGTATGGATGCATAATTCATATTATGTACACATCCCACAGCACTACAATAAGCAAGAAGTTTCTTTTGGTGTATGTTACACAACTACCACCTTTTTAGCTTGTTTCTCAGGAATTAGTAGTGTGGTGTGCAGACAATCCTTGGGTGGCAATTCAAACATTGTTATTAGTTTAACCCTTTCTCTACAAGTCTTCTGAAATGCTCTGTTTGCTGGATGTGGACTTGCCCAAAGCAACAGATGTTGTACATCTGTGTTTTATAAGAACCCATTAACTCTCTTCAAGCATTATTATTGGAGCTCAGCATGTAAGTCAAATAAATCTCACTACTCTACAGCCACTGATTTCACTCAGAGGACATTGGTTCCCCACTGACACTGCACATTGAATGTGACTGCTTGCAAGATAAAAGTCTGTATGGGTTCTTAGGATCCTGGTTTCTTGGAGAGGCATACCTGGGCGTGTCTAGCTCTTCCTGCAGGTCATTATGTTTACATGTAAGGAAACTGGTAAGGAGGATCAGAAATGCTCCCCCCTCCCTCCATGTCACTCTGTAATTTTCTTTCTTGCTTCCCTCCTCCCTAGAATTCCTGCCAGCGTCCCCATTTACTTTCCTTGTGGGAAGCTTGCAAAGAGAAAGTCAATGGGGACGCCAGCAGGAAGTTGCAAGTCCAAGGCTAGCAAGCAGGTAAGTGGGGAATGCATGAGAGGTGCTGTGTGGTTTGGAAAGCCTCTCTGGATGGGTGCAAGAAATGCCATGCAGGTTGGGGAGGGTACACAGGGAGGTGGTATGGGTCAAGAGAATGTAGGGGGGGGTCGCTGATCAGGAATGGGCATGAGAAATGCCATGCAAGTAGAGTGGTGCAGGGAGGTCGCATGGGTCAGGAAGGGCGTGGGGGGGGGATGCCCAAAAGATGCTGCATGGGTCAGAGAAGGCACACCAGGGGACACAGGTCAGGGAGAGTGAAGGGAGAGGTGCAAAAGATGCTTTGTGGGTCAGGAAAGGCATACAGGGAGGGTAGCAAAGGCCAGGGAACATGTGTCGGGGTCAAGAGGTGCTACATGGGCTGGGGAAAGTGCAGGGGGCTGCATGGGCCAGGAAAGGTGTGTGAGTCTCTTCCCTTCTTATTCCTACTTTCCTTCCTTTCGTCTCCTTTCCCTGCCCCTTCTTTCCCAGCAGGATGGTAAGCCCATTTGTGATACCTTGGTTCAAAAATTATTGTCCTACGATGCACCATTTTGCCCAGTTAAATGTTATAGAAGCAAGAATTTTAATATATAAATTTTCTAATAAAATATTAATATTAAAACAGATTTTGCCCAATAGGGATTGCATATTATGCATAATCATACAAAACCATTCATCTGACATTCTGAGGTTCTCTCTCTCTCTCTCTCTCTTTCGTTTTCTTTCTCTTTCTTTTTTTCTTTTTCTTCTCTTTCTTGTAGCTCTTTTTCAAGAGAATTGATTTTTTTCCTGAAATCACTTTAGTATAAAACAATATGTTGATACCTGTCTGGCTGCAGAGATGTTCTGCAGAAAATATATTAAAAATTCTTTAATTTCCAATTTTCTTCAGAGTTCTTCTGTAAAATAGAGGTCAGATAACAGCATCACGGCTTTCATGATGAAATATTCTGAAAAATGTAGCATACCATTTGGCTGAATCTAACAACCAAAAACAATTTCTTTCCATAATTACAAGCTACAACAATTTTTCCCTCAGTCATGTGTTAATTTGCATTGATGCTAATTACAATTAGCGAGCATTGTATCTGCACTGGGACAACATTCTATCCATAGTGTGCCTTCTATGGGGCAATGCCTGCCCTCTGGAATAAGGTTTCCCCCACAGATTCAAATGGCTCCCTTACTTGTGTTTCGAAGAACCCTAAAAACTCAGCTTTTCACCTCGGCCTCTGACGAGCATGTTTGAAGCCCCCTTTTTTCTTTTTCTTCCTTTTTTGTTTCCCATTTGATTTTATCTTATCGGTGCATCTTTATTCTTTTTTGTTTTGTGGTGTTTTCTTATTTATAACAATTTTTAAACCACTCAGAGTCAGGTTAAAAAAAAAGAGATAGAGTTTCAAATTTATGCTGATCTATAACTGGAATAAAGATGGATCTGATTTGAAGTAGACAACTCTGAAACTTAGTCAGAGTCTCAAGTCATTTTTATTCAATTGGTTTGCAAGGAAAGAAAATGGGTTGGTTATCTAGAACACATGTTTAACTCATTTCCAGAACCAGTAAGGCTAACACTTACCATTTTTTTCTTTTGCATGATAAAGATATGAATGTCTTCACTCCGATATTCTTCATCATGTTCATCCAAGGGAACCTTTTGCAATTCAAAGTCCCTCTGAAGAAGCTGTGATTTAAAATTATACCAGAATAAGTTCTTAAATACCACAGCATTCTCAAAATGCTATTTGTGCTACTTGTGACTGTTTTAGGAAATAATAGAAAGCATTTTGAAAACCTGCCTTTCTACTCTTGGAAAAAAAACCCTCTCCCAAGAAAAATTTGATTCCTTCAAATCAAGAAAAGCTCTAATATGACTCACCTCAAAGTATCTCTTCTCTACTTCTGGGTTTTGTCCCACAGTCCTTTCTTCATAACAGCAAAGGATGAAAGTATCCAAGCCAGCCAAGTCCCTCAGAGTTTTAACCAATGGTTCCAGTGACTATCCGTAAAAGTTAAATATTTGACATTTAGTCTCCACCCACTCTTTATATATGGCTCAGTCTAATTTGTACTTCAAAAAACTGAATACAAGCAACTGGATCACTGTATTAGCAAATATGGTGTTATTTCTTTTATTGGCCTCTCAAACTTTCAGTTATTTGGGATAATTACCAGGCAGATAGCAGTAGTAAGTGCAAGTAGACGCAGTTCAGAGAAAAGATCAGAATGTAGACTAGGATAGTCATGAGGTACTGAAAGGCTACAATTTTTATAGCTATTTGGAAATAGCTCCTAAAAATTCTAAGAAACATCAGCTCAGTTAATACAAAATGAAACTGTACTGTTAGTTTACACTAATGGCTAAAATAAGTAATGAAGGAATTCAGGAAACAGGACACAACCACCATTTTTCTACTATTAGGGGCTGGTTCCACAGTCATCACTCCATCTCATTCACAGAATGAAATAGGTGATAGCTGATGAATATTCCTGAAGAGTTTGAAGAATCCTGAGAAGGAAACTTATCCAAGGATTTCCCAAGAAAAAATATTTTCTAAGGAATAATGCAAGCTGCCCCAAATGGACACAGTTGGCTGAACACAAGTTGCTTTATCACCAGTAAGGATAAATAAAAAGAATAACAATCCAAAATATTTGAACAGCATTCTGTGAAAAAACTCCCCATTGCCTGTGTTCCAGCTTTCAAAATCATCAATAATTTGTCAAGCTGAGTGAGGTTTATGGGAGTTGTAGTCCTAAACGTATAGCATCTAATCAGAACTGGAGGATCTGGATTCAAAATCTTACTTAGTTATGAAGCTCACTGGGCTAGTCACTGTCATTTTGCCTACATATACCTCACAGAAATTACAAGAAGCATGAAGGACCTTAGCTCTTTGAAGGAAGGAGAGTGTTATTTTTTAAAACATAATAAATACAATTTTAAAGAATTTGGGCAAAGTGGGTTCCTCAAGATCATTCAGAAATCTTATAGCAAAACTTAAGACTCAAATGTTCAGTTCGCTGGTCAAAATCTCAAAGGTATTCATGAGATCATCCTACTATACAAAGAAAAAATAGCCCGATTATCATTTTACTATGGCATATCTACCCTGATCTTGCAGCATCAAAATCAGTTCAAAGGATGTCACAAGTTTAATCCCAATTACAAGACTAGAGATTCTTTGCCTGCCTTCAACTCTATTCTTAGCCCACTGATATGCAGTTTACCTCGTCATAGTAGATGCAGTCTGCCATCAATATGAAATCAGGTGCAGGAAGAAAGTCTGTTACATCCTCCCCCCTAAATATGTGAATACAAGGAGTAAAGACTTAAGGATTACTTATTTAAGTAGTTTATATGGCTGTCAATCTCACATGCATGTCTCTGGGGGTTAACAGTTAAAAAGAGTAAAAAATAACCACAATTAAAAACAATATAAAAAGATAGCAGCCGAGAACACTTATAACATCTTATATTTAATAGAAGTATGACCCAGAAACAAGCTTACCCACACTATTGTGACCCCAGGCTTGAGGGCAAAACCAAGTTTGTAATGTCTTGCAAAAGACCAGGGCATAATTACTCTGAAGGGATGATGTTGCAGAGGGTGGATGCCATGTCTGAAAAGACTCTTTTCCTGGGTCTTGCTGGATGGCATCTCTTACAGGCGGCACCTGGAATAGGCCTTTCCTACCAAATCTAACAGGACACCACTGGGGAAATATAATAAGTAACCCAGCCTAAAACCATGAAGATAGATTAACGTAATGAACAATCACTTTTTTGTTTTCCGATGTGTACTATAGTATTTAGTTATTCTATTAATATTATTCTTGTTATTATTAATAATTTAAACTTATTGGCCACCCAACTCCAGTGTTTGTATTGTATTAGTCTCCCAGAGTTGCTTTATATGAGATGGATGGCCATATAAATCTAATCAATCTTAATAAAAAATATGGAAATAACATTTGATTCATTATTTTACGTAGATCCTGAATTTTAGCCAATTTTCTCAAAGCAGTATACAGTTAGATGCACATTTACTTATTTTTTTCCAAAGTCTTATCAAACTTTGTACTATAACTTTAAATATATATAATTCACTCCAATAATTTATCAAGATTCTTTTATTATAGAGTGAGGTAGGCCAAAAATATTTCATCTTTCTTGTTAATCTTGTCTGTTTATAAATATGATTTATAAATAAAATAAAACTAGACTCTATTAAGGCTGACGTCATAACTGGCTGATTAACCAAAATTGATTCTCAATTTCTTAAACTAAATAAAAAATTAATACAAACCATTTCAGTACCTTGGCTTGAATGGAACCTGATACAAGATGTTGATTATTCTCAATGTTCACTTTTAATAAATCCTGAATTTCCTCCAAATCAGTAACAGTAACATTTGCTCTACAAAAAAGGTGGAAGGAAAACATGTTAGTATTCCTGGTCCACAATGTTATTCAAGCAATACAAGACAGAACACAACATGAAAGCATAAAACCCACCACTCAAGTTCTTTGAAGGATGGTAGCACCTTTTATCTGATTAAACAGATTTGATTGAAAGGCATAAACTTTCGTGAGCCACAGCTCACTTCATCTGATGCACAAAATGGCTGGATCAGGGTTTCTCAAATTGTCTATGCTTACTGGGGAATTCTGGGAACTGAAGTCCACACATCTTCAAGCTAAGAAACACTGGCCTACACCAATATGAGATTTAGATTTGCGTGTATCTGATAAAATGATTTGCCTTTTAATAAGAAGTGTTAGTTGGAAAAGATGCTGTCATAATCCTTTCTGATGGTTTGCCACAGTAGACAAACATGGCTCCCTTCCACAATGTCAATTTTTAAGAAGTTTGAACTGTCAAAGCAAATCATGTACAGCAAATACCTGTCAAAGAATGTATTAGGCAACGCAGAGCCAGTTCTCCCGGCAATTGAACTACATAAAATTAAGCTGGAAAATATTATAAGTGAAATATAGTCTAATTTACTTTCAAATAATTGCAATAACTTTATTACAGTCCTAGAAGGAAAATAATCTCTCTTTCTCTCTCTCATCTTCCAATGGCAAACATATAGAGGGAATTTTGCATCATCAGTGTTGTGTGTGTGATTAACTGTTCACTTGGCATGCTAAAGCATATTGTGGGCTTGCTTGTTGCTTAACTTTTCGAATACAGCCATTACAATTTGTAAGCAATTATTTATGGCTTAATAATGTGAGCCTATTCAAGTTGAATTTATTCAATAGGCACAGGTCTTTTTGTACATTGTGAAAGTAGTCGCTTACTTGTGTAGAGTCCCTCTTTGAGGTAGATGGGAGGTTCAGAAATGTGAACAATCAATCAATCAATACATACATACATTCCCAAAAGATTAAAGAAAAACTTTCTTGGTAATAATCTCTGACAAGGAAGGCTTTTAGATGATAGCAGCGCCTGCAGGGCTCTCGAGGCAGGCATCATCCCCTTTCTGCTGCCATCAGAAGGAGCCCGGGACGGCTGGAAGAGCTGCTTGCCACACAGAAGCCCCACAGATAAAAATTTACGCCCCGTTGATGTTGCCCTTTTTTCCGCCAGGGCACAACAGAACATCCAGCGCAGGGCAGGAGGCCAAACGCGGCGCAGCGACGCTCAGGGAAGGCCGGCAGCCCAGGATGCCCCCCCCCCGCCCGCCTGCCCTCGCTCCCGTACCCGAGGCTGGCGGCCACGAGGCCCACGAGGCCGGTGCCAGCGCCCAATTCGAGCACGGCCTTCTGGCGGAGAAAAGCCACCGGAGTCCCGCCGCGCCGCTCTGTGCCTTGCCCTGTTTGCGCCGCGCTCTTCTCCAGGAAGCGGGCCAGCACCAGTGCGGCGTCCCACACCACCGAGCCCGTCCCGCCGGCCGAACGCTGCGTCAGCCGGAGGATCCCGGAGCCGTCCCGCCGGGGCAGCTCCCGCTCGAAGAAGACCGCCGGTTTCGGCGGCGGCGACGACATGAAGGAAGAGCGGGCAAGGCCGGCCAGGCTCGCCCAAGCGGCCTTTTTTTTCCCGGCGGCGCCCTCTGACTGGGAGGGAGGGAGGGGAACCCGGCGGCGGCTCTTTTCTGCCCGTAACTACCCCGCGGCGCTTCGAGGCATCAGCGCGGAGACTGCTAAGTTTCCTTCCTCCGTGAATTCACACGCGAAAGGCGTGTCTCGGGATAAGGTTACACAGACACGTGAGAATAGCAGCAGCAGCAGCAGCACTAGCAATTGCAGTAGTAATAGTGTAGCCATGAATGAGTGCAAAAAAGCGAAATAGCTGCTTTATGTAAGTGTGAATATATGTGTATATGAGGGCCGTGGCCTCTGCCCTCGGAGATTAGGATGGCCCCGATCCTGCTGGCCTTTCGCCAGGCCTTGAAAACCTGTTTTTGTGTTTGTTGATTGTATTAACGTGTATTTTTTTTCTCAGCTGATGTCACACTTATATCTATTTCTATACATTTCTTCCTATTTTCCCCACAACAACCATCCCATGAAGTAGCTTGGGCTCAGAAAGAATGACTAATCCATAATGTTGTAGTTCAATTGAGTTGATTGTGGATTGCCCAGAGGATAGGCAGTTATTGAAATTGAACAAACACACATTGGTTGGTTGGTTTAACCACTTAAGACATATCCGACTCTTGGCGACTTTATATGCAAAAGCTGTCCATGCTATCCTGTCAAGCATAGCTTCTTTCAGTTGTTGGATGTTCAACTTTGTATCAGATTTGATGTTATAAAAGCCAGTATGTTCGTTGGTGCCCCTTCTAGTTTCACTAACCATTCCTAGCATCATTGCCTTCTACAATAAATTTGCACACATGACATGGCCAAAGTAAATCAGACGTGGTCTTATGATTTTAGCTAGTGTTGTGTCTGGTTTTATACAATTTAACACCTGTTAGTTACTCCAGCTGTTCATGGTATACACAATAATTTACACCAGCACAATTCAAAGTTGTCAAGCCTTCAATCAGCCATTCTTAGTGTCCAACTCTTATACATCATTATAGGGGAAACTATCGCTCTAACTAGCCTTTTTGTATTTATATCAATATCTCTGCTTTTCCAGATCTTATTCATGTTAATCATTGCAGTGTGGCCTAAGATTATCCTGCATTTGATTTCAGGAGTAGAACTGCCATTATGAACAATTTTGCATCCAAGGAAGATAAATTCTTGAATTAATTCAATTTCCTCCTTGTTGATTTTAAACGTCTCATGTCCATCTGCAGCTGTTGTCATTATTTTTGTTTTCCTGATATTAAGACTCAATCCTACTTTTTCACTTTCGTCCTTGCTTTTCCAGATCATTTTTTCCAAGTCTTCCTTATTTTCAGCCAATAGTGTTATATATCACTTGCAAACCTCAAATTATTTGTGGTTCTTCCCCCAATCTTCACTCTAACATCAGGCAGATCTAATTTCTGCATGATCATTTCAGTATACAGGTTGAACAATATAGTTGATAAAATACATCCCTGACTCCCTTACTGATTTTGAATCAATCTATGTCACCATATGGTGTTCTCACTATTGCCTCCTGATCAGCGGACAGTGATCTGATGAGTCTGATGAGGATGCAGTGGTGGGATTCAGGCCAGTTCGCACCACTTCGGCAGAACTGGTAGCTAATTTTTTGTTGCCCAGGCCCAGAACGGACTTCTGGAAGTGGCATCCACACAGAGAACCAGTTGTTCACATATTTGAATCCCACCACTGGTAGGATGGGACACCAAGATCATGCAAAGCCGCCCATAGCCCATATCAATCACACAGTCTTGTTATTCTGAATATCTAGTTTAGTATGTTTATATTTGCTGCCTATTAAGAGAAAGGTGATCATAGATGAAACAGTGTAGGTCAGAAATTACCTGTGTATAAAGTATTCTATTCCTCATATTACATAATAACAGGAAAAGCTATTTTGTTACTTTCAGACCCATTCTGGCTGCATAAATATAATACTGTAGGCTTTACCTGGTTATTGAATGATTGTATTTCTTGGGTTTGCATACTGCAATCAGTCTGATGCTATCCAAGCAGGTTATGCTAAATCATAAAGAAATTGGACAAGGTTATCATAAACCCAGATTACTACATTATGCAAGTGCACCCATTAGATCTTCACCCAACTTCATAAAGCATGTTAGGTGAGTGTAACCTTATTGTCTCGAGAACCGATACCACAAATATTCCAAATCACCATTTATGTATTTAGAAAGCCTTTCTCATCCATTCCTGGCCGCATTGGGGCAAACTTCCATGAAACTGTAACACCTTGTGGTAAGTTCTGATGTAGGTTCTACTAAGTTTAAAAATTGGGTATTATTAAATGAGTATCAGAAGCAATCTTTACCTTTCTAATGCAGGAAGTAAAGCTGAGTTTCCATGAGTTATCAAGACTTTGTTTTAATATTTTAAACTGAACATACAAAAACCTTTTTATTATTCATATGAATATCAACCTCTTATGTGCAAATGGGACTCATTTCACAGGACCTGTCTTCAAATATGTTGGATGGATTCAGATGTTACAACAGACCATATATCATTTAGCAACAGTTTCTTGAATAAGCCACTGTTGAATGGATTCACATGTAATGAGTCAGAATTGTTAATTGTATAACAAAATAGGTGCATATGACATCTTAACTCAGAACAAAACATGCCATAATATGGTGTAATTTTTTTTTTACTACCAAATACATTCTTCCCCCTCCTATCTGTTGCCCTAACATTAGTTTTAACTTGCAAGCTATGCATATTTGATGTTTTCTGGCTCTAAGGGCATAATAAATATTAAAATAAGACTTGCAAACTTCTAATGGCTACATGCACCAACAATAGAGCATAAATAACAACTGGGAAGGAGTACTACATTGGAGCCCTTTTAGTTTTCTTTCTGGTTAGGGAAACTGGTGTGTATCTGAGGCAATACCTGGTAAAAAATATCCATAAGATGTCCCAAAGGTACATTTCAAAAGAAATGTACCTTTGTTTTTTTCCTTGAAAACGTTTCACTTTTCATCCAAGAAGCTTCTTCAGTTCTTGGATGAGAAGTGACATGTCTTCAAGGGGAAAAAAAAGAAAGCCCAGTTGCCTTTTGAAAAACACCTTTGAGACAACCATGACCTGGATGATTGAGAATCTCCATAGACATCCATAGCAAGAGAATCTCCATAGACATCCATAGCAAGAGTTTTAGTGAAATCTTTCAATCTTTAGTGAAATCTTAAGTTTTAGTGAAATCTTTCAATTTCCACAACTCACAGAGTTTCCTTGGTTTTTCTCCAGCATTAGTCTAAATATATCATTTGGTGTAATTTTGTGACATGTCATTTCCTCTCTATATTTACACAAATTTATAACTAATCATATGCAGACTGTTTTGAACTGAAAACACATCTGAGCTTGAAACTTTCCATTTTGAAACAGAAATAGATACTCCCAACTTTCCAGAATGCTCTGGAAATCTTGTAATTTCAAAATGGCATTGTTTCTAATCTGAAAAGTCTTGGTTTAGGTTGAGTACATCCTATTTTACACAGCCCTAGTCAGAATTCTTTCTCCCAAAAAAGTAACATAAGGTTTTCTTGTAACTTCCTTTCCTTGGAATTTTATGAATACCGTTTTAATTGTTTTCTGAACCCCACCACCGCCACCCCTTTGAATTTTTGGCCTAAATATCACGAAGGGTAAAGTAGTTTACCAAAAGCCGGTGACATGAAAATTACTGGGCAAATAGTCAACTTGTTTAATCTCTGTAGTAGTGGAAAGGAGGAGTGCACCATGTTGGATGTTCTGCCTTCAGCCCCAACTTGCCTAGAGCCATTTCTGATCCAAACATGCTAAGGAGTTTCATTTGTTTTTCTTAACATGACAATCTTTGCAAGAATAATATGACTTGAGCAGACTTTCTTAAAAATTAAGACCAGGTGATTTATTAGTCTGGTTAAGAACTCTGATACAAAGAACAGTAAAAAGCCACAGACCAGTCAAGAGAAGGCTTTTGGATTCTACAGTACTTGAGCATTGTGAAAGAGCCTAGTCACAAAAAACCCCAAGGAAGCCTGGTAGCACCTATATCAGTGGTGGCGAACCTATGGCACGCGTGCCAGAGGTGGCACTCAGAGCCCTCTCTGTGGGCACCCATGCCATGCCCCAGAGATGGTGAGGGACTGGCCCCTGCCATCCTGGCCCCACCCACCCAGTCTGCCATGACCACCGCGGCCATGTCCACCCGGCACCCGGTGATAAGTGGGTTTTGGGTTGCAATTTGGGCACTCGGTCTCTAAAAGGTTCACCATCACTGACCTATATCAACCCGTTTTAAAGCCACCATTGAGCAAGAGATTGCTGAATGTGCATACAGGTAGTCCTCGGCTTATGATAAGTTTGTTTTACCATTGTTCAAAAGTTGCAATGACCTTGGAAAAAGGGACTTACGAACTGCACTTGCACTTACAACCATTGCACCACCTCTATAGTCAAGTGATCGCAATTTGAGTAGTTGGTAACTGGTTCACATTTATGACCAGTTGTAGCATCCTGCGGTCACATGATTGTACTTTATGATCTTTTTTGCCAATTTCTGGCAAAAAACACTCATGGGGGAAGCTGGATTTGCTTAACAATTGTATGATTTGTTTAATGCCCACTGTAAAAATTGTCATAAAATTAGGTTTGACTAGACTTATGATCTCAATGACTTACAACATATGTTCTAGTCACAATTGTGGTCATTAGTCCATCTCTATTACCTATATGTCAAAAGATTTCAGGCAAGCTCAAGATATCAACAAATACAAAGGGGGTTTAACACAACAATTGTTAATTGATAAGATACTGCTAATCTGTTTCACATGTAACCTGTATCTACATAACCAACCTGTTGTCCCCTCCTTTCCCATCATCCCTATTTAAATCCTACATCAATCTATCCCACTGTTTCTCTATCTTAGCCATGG